TGCCAGTGAGAGTCAAGTGAAACACATGTCAAACAATAACACACTTTGAATGAGCGCTACATTTGAACCGCAATTTGCGATACAAACTCACTGTTAGTCTATGTATCCGTTGATTGTCTTACAGTCTGTTAGAAACTATTAGACAATAATATTTTCATCCATTCATTCAGTTTGTCTCTTCATATGAATCAATACACTCTTTTCAATACAATTATACTTCCAATAACTTAATTATTTAAATTATATCCACAACGAGTTGATATCAACTCATTATTGACGATTAGATTAAGATTAGATTATCACCACTTTTATGATTACCAAATGTCATTGCATACTTATTAGATAAATTAACTAACTGATAATAAAAATTTTGTTAACTCAAAGAGTTTATAAAACTTTAATAAAAAAATCTTAATTTTCATAATTAAAATTGAGGGAACGCTGCAAGTTATATTTAATTTTCAAATTCATTACAATTAAAGGGAATTGTTAACTAGACTTAATTAGAAAAAATATTAGATTGAGAATAAATGATGAAATGAATAAAGGTAACTTTTTTGCTTATTTATAAATGAGTATAAATTTTATTAATTTATAGACAAAATAACTAAAATCAGTTAGAATAATAACATAAATGATTTATTTGTCAATATTTGATTCAAACATTAAACATAGTCATTAATGACAATAATTATTGAATAAATGATATAATATCTGCAAATTATATTTAAATCAAAATCAGTGATCATTTGTCCAAAAGCTAAACAAGTAATTAAAAGATATATAATAATTAAGTTATAAGTAATAATAAGTTTTATAATATTTGTTATAAAAATTCTGAAATTTGGTAAAAAATACAAATACTGTATTTTAATATAATCGCTAAATAATTACAAAATAATTTTCAAGCATTAGGAGTTTATACTTTTTATAAAAGTGATCTTTCATTGATGATAATATACTGTCATTTAGGTGCAAATGAGTGAACGAGTTATTGATTAGTGTCTAGCGTTTGGCCGCATTTCGGCGACAGGTCTTCTTATGTCCTGAATGCCAGTGCTGTTGTTGACATGTAGTGGAACAGTAGCTCGTATTCCAACAGCTAAACACCAAAATGATTAGTGAAATACACCACACATTGACTAACAAACAACAAATCTTACCAAAAATATATTGCTTCTGCTTCGCAATTAAAACACTAAACAAATCATTTTAATCATTAGATAATATGTTAGACAAGTAGACAATAAATATTTAAAGTGTTGCGAACCCATTGCTTCTTTTTGATTTGCGAGATCTCCATCAAATGTCTTTCATTCAAAGCACTCATCTCTTGACTGTCATGAGATTCTGACCTCAATTTTCTCACTTCATTCTGAAGTCTATAATTCAATTGCTTAACTGTTTCCAAATCTTTCTTCAACTGCAAAACAAATATTATATTTAATAAATGCATATTCAGTACAATATAATGAAACTCATTTGTAATAAAAGTATCACTTGTTTTATTTCTTCCTTATATTGGTTCTCAAGACTGGTCTTCACTTTCTTCAACATCTTATTGTTGTTTGGATCCGAAGTAATCAGTAATTCTGGCGGCGATATAACCAACGGAGTGGAAGGCGAGGCAGCCATTGCTCTCAATTCTTCGAGTCTCATCTTTTCAAGAGTTGCTTTATTTTTCACTCCTTTGGGTCGCCCTCTCTTCGGGCTGACCACCACTGGCGGTGACATCACTGATGAATTCGGAACTCCATT